TATGGTGCTGAGTGGCTGCTTTTTGGCATGTGTGCGCACTGCAGAAACACGTGCACTTGCACATTAGGGCTCAGCCTTTTTTGTCTGTGTCAAGATATGTTTACTGTCATGTACATCCTGGGATCCCCAGCTGAGGACCTGGTCTTCCTCTCAATCTGTTTTTAACATCTTTCCTTTCTTGCTGGGCTTGAGCAAATGTCATCTCACACTTTTTGAGGGTTTTTTTGTTTTTCCTCTCGCATGAAGGATCTGCAGCAGTTGGGGGCCACTGTGAGTTCTTGCTGGTACAGGAGCACAATTTGTGATTGTCAGTGGAACTGTGTTTTCCTTTAGAAAACCTCTCAGGCCAAACATTTTGTAATTTCAGAGCTAGAATCTAGGCTTGAGGAAGTTCCAGATTTTCAGATCAAATTGAATGGGAAATTGGATCTTTTGAGATGTGTGTTAGCAATACAGCACTACTTAAAGCCTTTCAAAGTGAGAACATTCTATAAACCACACACTTACTACATTTGAAGACATTATGGTCTCCCTTGAATATTGAATGTCCCCAAGCCTGGATTTACCAAGTTGGATTATATGCATTTTAAAAGCGCTGTATTGTGAATTCTCACTAGCAGAGGTAGTTTGGGTTCCCTTTGCAGGGAAGGTCCAAGCTTTGCCCTAACAGTTCACTGCCATTTATTGATTTGTTGCAATATTATTATTTTAACCAGTATAGAGGGGATTGGATCTCTAAAGACAATTGCGGTGGTGTCCCTGTTGCAAGCTTTATAGATGCCAGTTAAAACTTGCTGTTTTCTCCGGCTGCAGACTTAATATTTCAAGTTGCCTTTTAAAAAAGTGTTGAAGATGGGAGCCCACTCCTAGATTTCTCAGGTTCTCAGTTTGGACAGACCCCAAACTAAACTTCTAGTAGCAGATAATGCACCGGTGACTTTTCCAGTCACTGTTTTGTTGCTCTTTCTAGGTGCCTTAAAGAATTTACAGGTATGGCATTATGCCAGATGCAATTCTGTTCAACTGAGCTGCTTTTACTTTTTTGAAGGATTCTCTATACTGTATTGTTGTTGTTGTTGTTGCTATTTTTCTTGTCTGGAAATCTTAATAAAATTGTTCAGAAGAATTATGACTAATAAACAAGCTTATATCCATTTACTTGCCTTTGCTGCTGAAGATTTTATTGCTAGTTTTCTTCTCCCCAAAAAAACCGAGCTAGCTGTCCACGAGGAATATTTTACCAGTGTTGCAGTGGATGTAGTCTTTCTGGACTTCAGCAAGGCCTTTGACACCGTCTCTCACCCCATCCTAGTTAAAAAACTAGGCGACTGTGGCATCGATGCCTACACAGTCAGATGGATTGCAGATTGGCTGAGGGGTCGCACTCAGAGGGTAGTGGTGGATGGGTCAT